CGCGGCTCGATACATTATAATTGTTAACGCTATTAATTGTGTCATACAGAAAATAAATTATAGTGCAGATAATTATACGGATAAAGAAAAATAGAAAATCGACATTCACTTGTCGTGAGATCCCAGAATTCAATATAAAATCAAGAATGAAAAGTCGAACGAGATCAATTTTATTTGCAGTTTCACAATTAAATTTAAAAAACAAGGCATCGTTGCAGTAACATACATAAATACCAACAATTAATTTAAAAATTATTAAATATTTATTATGTTATATTTAGTAAATTGAATTAAATTTATTTATAAAATTTATTTACACGTATTGCTGCAATGATGCTTTGATATTTATTTATGGAATTGCAAATTGGAAAATAAAATAATAAATAGATTTCATATTGCAAAATTTCATCTGATTCGAAATTACTTATTACACAATTTACATAGGAAAAAAAGTTTGGTTGAATTAAGCAAATTTCTGATAAAATATAAACGAATCAGAATATTCTAGTTGAGGTTATCAGAAGTCTGTTCAAGTTAACTAGAAATCTTGTTTTTCACCAGAAACTGGTTCGATCAAGCTTTTTTCCGTGTAGTAAACAAATTTCTCCAATGTGTGCGATATAAATCACCCACATGAACGTCGCCGACGATCGCGGGCGAATCGCGGGCGTAGCTCTAGCTTGTCTCCGGTTTCCCCGTCGATCTTGGTGGCCGGGCCTTTGTCCACATCCTCGGTCGCTTCCTCGACGACGGTGCCATCGCGAGCGGATTCACGCTAGCGTGTCCAAGACGTTCACGTACAGTCCGGCGCAAAAGTGGGACACGAAACCAGGCCACCGAGACAAGTGGCACGCCTTTTAGTGCTTCGTAACGTTCGGCCGGTCTACATGCGGAACCGCGCGGCCGCTGTACCTTTGGTTATTAGTGAAAGTTAGCCGGTAACTTTCGACTTTGACAACGACGACGACGACGACGACGACTGCTGTGGCGGTGGCGGTGGCGGCGTGCACGCGCCTCGCAGGTCCTCGACGCGCTCCGAATTGCGCTGGAGGATGTTTTCATGTTCGTTTTCAAGTCACCTACCAGCCCTTCCATTCTTTTTCCGGCTGGCAAATTAGATTTGAGAGAACGGACAGAACTGTGTTTTCCGCGCACCGTTCAAAAAATCTAAAGCGGGTGTCTAGCTCTTTTTCTCTCTCTAAAAGACCTGCTCTAGAGAGTGAATATCAGCTACTTCGCATCACAACGTTGCATGAATTATGCAACGGATTCAAAATCGAGATGGAGGAAAGAGTGGATATCACTTTCAGCAACCGCGCTACCGTTGCGAGCTACGAATTAAAGCGCGCGCTTGAGCTCCGCTATTGTTTTCGATCGCTCGACTTTCTTCGACTCTTCTCGCGCCTAGCGAACGAAGGAATCGTGGCACGCGATCCGCTGTACGAAGTCTGTCCTGTCGCCTCACATGCCCTCAATTTCGTAGTTTTTGTTGTTTTTGCTACAAATCAGTTTGCGCGCGCGATCTCCCTGTGAAACAAACTATTCGAACGTGAACTTTGGAAGGAACTGAAGAAATTCTTGAGTATTTGACGCTTTCTAAGGACCATTCTATAATTGTGTAAGCATGGTCGTGAACGTAAGAGCCAATCAATCAGTGTGTTTTGTTCACTGATTGCTTTATTCTGATTGTTTGTTTCACTTGCAATCACTTACGACCACGCTTACGCAATTGTAGAACGGCTTTAAACAACAATTTAAAACTTCAATGAAATAGCACTTTAAAGCTTTTCTTTATAATCTTTTGGTCAGCGGTTCCTTAAGTCGCGTAAGACATCTAAAATTTGAAAAATCTAGAAGATTGTGAGTGTTCTCGTGAGACGCGTACACGGAAGATCGGCGTTAAAGAACAGATGACGCTTTCGTGAGTCGGCGAACTGCATGTCCACTCTCTTAAAGTGAATCAGTAAAAATGTTTCTGATTGAATCAAGAGAATTATTTCATCGATGATCAATGAGTATTCACTGATTTTCTGTGAAAACATTAATTCGTTTTATTTCTCATTGATTTTGATCAGTAAAGGTAAAACGTTATTACTAATTCTGTAAGATAAAAATAATAAAAAATACAAATTTTCGGACGCGTAGCTAATTGTAGATATTCTTATTGTTTTGATTTTTAAATGCGAATCTTTAAATATATATATTTGTATTCTTAGTAGCGATTTAAAATAACTGCGCGATTCTCCCCAAGACAATTTTTTCTTTTTTTAAATAACAATATCTAATTTTTTTTCTCTTTTTTGCTATTTTTGTTGAAAAATTATGTAAAGTAAAGACCAAATATTTAATTTGCTATACCACTACCAATTACAAATATAACATTTCAGTGAAGAATATGATTGTAGTTTAGAAAATAGATTTTTCCGTCGTACACTGTCAAAAAATACTTAAAAAATTATTTATAGTATATAAAGTTTATTCACGGAAATAAATTTTATTTTACAGAAATAAACTTTATATTCAACGAAGAAATTTCCAAGTATTTTTTTTCAATGTAGGAATTGATAGTGATTCCGTCAACGACTTTACTTGAATTTTCTATTGAGATTAAGGCCGACGAAATCTCGTCTATACAGCGCGATTTATCACTCTAAAGAAAATTAGCGAAAGGGCTCGAGCTTTCATTAATCAATTATTCCAAAAGTGTCAGAAAAGAAGATGGGATATCGAGAAATATTGTGCATTTTCCATCTACGGGAACTTTAAAATTGAAAATGGAATTAAATAAAATTAAATCTGTCGAGAAATTTTAATTTGAATCACAATTGCGCACGGATTATCACGTGTTTAATTAAAGTAACAGTATCATTATCACATTTCTTTCTCTCTCTCTCTCTTTCTCTCTCTCTTTCTTGACACATTAAAGTTTCTAATATTACATCATGTGTTCCTACCTTCTTTTCTATCACAGTCACACTCGTGATTATAAGCCTCGACGCTTGCAAGGCTGAATCACTGCGAGATACAGAGCGAGGTACCCGCGGCAAAGAGAGACGACGCGGAATAAATTAAATTCGTTGACGTGTGCGTTTATCGGGGATAGCTGCGACGTCACTCCGCGATCTAATTCGTCTGCGTGAATATTCGCGCGGGTTTCGTTGCGTGTCCACCACGGTCAGGGTCACGTTCACACCACGACGAGCCAATGAATAGAGCAGCGCGACACGCGGTTGACTACTGATGAGGAACAGAAACATCAGCATCCGAGACCACTCTCTTCGCCGGCCGTCCTCACTCTCTCCAGATAGGCCCAAGGCGCCCAAAGCGTTCCTTTTCTATCTAGCCAGTGAAATTATCGAGCCCAAGCGCGACGGGCTCGTCTCTCGCGGCCGTTCCTTTCAGATTATTAAGAGTCCCCGACGACGACGGCCACCACTTTCTACCCGAGCCGCTTTACTCACCCCTTTTTTATGTGCCCCATCCGAGACGTCAATTAATTCCCTCGTTTATCTTATTTTATACTCGGAATACATCGATTTCTAACAGAACTTCTCTATTTTACTTCCCGATCAATTCGTCCTTAATCCCTCCACCGACTTTCCACACGAGCTGCTTCTTCGATAATCTCGTACGTCGTGCGAGATCGCGCGAGTTTCTCGAATTCAATTTACACGTTCGTTCTTCTCGTTCTTTTCGTGCGCGCGCGCGCGTTTCCCGAAATTCCGCGAGCCACAACTTTACACAATTAACGTCGGATTCAATCCGAATTGACTCATTCGGGGTGGCTGTTCCATGAACGAAATAAAGAAACGTCCGTTCGATTTGTTATCCTTTTGTTTTGAGTCCGAAATTTACTTTTACGCGAGGTCACGATCGTGCAGTACAATCTGTTTTCTTCCGCGACAGTTTCACTTTGAAATCTCGCGGTGAAAATGAAACTTTCGTTTGGCACGCGATTTTCTGGCAACTGTTCGTTTGCGGGACGAATAATTGACGGGTGCGCGAAGATGACGTGCGAATGAAAAAGAAACGCACTTTCCCTGATATCCGGCCCATTCTTTTCTTGAGATCAAATTACAGATCTGTTTGAAGAAAATAGAAAAGAACAAAAATCTTAATGTCTATTAATTTTCAGTATTTCTCATTATCTCTGCCAATTTTTTCGTATTAATCATCATATCGAAATAATTTATTTCGATGTTGTAAGTTTATCAAATCGAACAAACGTAGCGATAATGATTACAAATTTGTTTATTTACTGTGGCACAGCAAAGACTTTGACACGCATTTTTCTCACTACTTTCAAACGAAGTGTCCGCGTAATTCGCCGCGTAACCACGTGATATAATAAGCAATGAGGAGGCATACATAAATTTAAAGCTGTCATTCCCTAGATACACATGTATACGTCACTCTCTACGTCATTTCTGCGCTATTTTTTTTGTCATTTCCGCAATCACGTTTCTTGATTGGCGATATTTTCTCCACCTATGTTACGTGCGCATTTGTAGTTATATCAACCTGCGTATGATATCGAGATAATATAAAACTTTCACTGTAATTATCTAATTAATTAACGCAATTTAATTAAAATTGAGTAATCAGAAAATTAAAAATTAATTGAAAATAAATTAATATAAAAGACTGAAATTAATTATTTATGCTAATTAAAAATTTATGCAAAATATTAAAAAATTCTTCCAGAATATTCGACATTTTTGAAATACATCGTGCTTATAAAATTTTCTTATAAAATTTTTAACGTCACATGAAATTTACGAAAGAAATATTTATATCAAGACGTATGGAATTGCATTTAAAATAATTGTAAAAAATGATAAAGATACAAAAATATGCAAAAAAAATTAAACATAAAATTTGTAAAACATGAGAATATTCTCAAGCATATTTGACGTTACTTCCATACGAAGTGTGGTCGGTGATACCGACCACACACTCATTCTCATATTTTATACAAGGTGGCAGCATAAGTCCGGTTAACACAACGAGTCGTCGAGTTGATTGTATTGACTGGAACTGTAGTCAATATGGCTACGATTATCTCGAGTGTCGCGAAAACAACGCGCTTCGCGATCGTTTCGACTTTGCACACGTAATAATTACGCGGAAATGACTCGGTTCTGAGGATCAAAAGTTAATTTCGCTCGTTAGTGATCGAACTGAATGCACAAAGTGATAGTGAAATTCGCATATAAATAGTATGAAAAGAGATGCATTTCCTCAAATGAACATTTCTATTCCTCTTGGGCATGCATTCCACAAATATTTCTTAACGTCGAGAAGCGATTTGAAACGCAGCTCATCGTAACGCACTCGCGATGACCGACTCTGAGAAACCTTTCGCCTGCTCCACATCAGGCTGCAACATGGTATGTGTCGTTTTCCTTAGCAACTCTCGCAGAGAGGGATGTAACTCGCATTAGGAGAATATTTAAGAGCTATGATAATCACGACTCACACATACACACACGCATGGAACAAGTAAAAGAAAGATTCAGACATCCCTTAATTGCAGAGCTTTACGAATGAGGACCAATTGAGTGTGCACAAGAAGAAGCATGACATGATGTTGAATCTGGGCAATAACATCAAGAATGCTGGTTTTGTCGGTAAGATCTTTGATAGAAAAACGACGTTTGACAGAACCCAACCCACGCATAGAGATATGTGCATAAATAGAACTCTTTGTCACCTGCAGCGGACCAAACACCGACACCCACGAGGTTCATCAGGAATTGCGAGGAGGTTGGCCTGTTTCAAGACCTGCAGGTGAACCCATTCGAGGAGACATTCCGTAGAGCAGTTGAGGAGGGAAATACTGGCACGCTCACAGTACCAGAGGCAAGACAAAGAAATTACTGTAGCTTTACAGAACCTACAAAATAATTCCCGAATTATTCCTCAGTGGACAGGACAGAGGTGTGACGAGGATGAATCGCTTCTTGCAGGCCGGAATCACGGATGACACGTTGCACACCCCGCACATCTTTCCTTATATACCGGGCGTGTTGTCGACGAGCCAAATCCTCAGCGAGGACAACGTGGAGTGTTCGCCGACCGTGTCTCTGGCTGAGAAGAGTGCGGACGAGGCGAGCAGCGTCATAGAGCCTGAGGTGTGCGGTACCATAAAACTGAATGCGGACGAAGCGCCGGAATTGATGAAAGATGATGTCACGACGCCTGGGAAGGACGACGTTCTTTCGCCTAACATCATCGTCGCGAACACAAACGCGCCCATTATTGCGCCAAAACTCTTGCCAACAACACCCACGCCGCATCTGTAAGGATCTTCTATCATTGTTGTAGAATTCTGTTACGTCGTCACGCTTAATTCCATACGTTTCTCTTCATTCAGCAAATCGCTTTTGCATGAAAACCAAACAAGACACAAAAGTAAGAAAAAAGAATCTCTAAATTTCTCGTGGGACAATTAACAAGATTTATTCTGTATCTTGTGTAGAGATCTGCTGTCATTATCATAGAACTGTTATGTTCTCACACTTAATTTCCCATGCTTTTTTTCATTCAGCATATCGTTTTAGCATGAAAACTGAATATGACAAAAGGAGCAAAAAGAAACATTAAAATTTTTCATGAGAGAATCAATAATATCCATTTTGTGATCTTGTATAAGGATCTTCTACTGCTATTATAGAACTATCACATCGTCATGCTTAACTCCGTATGTTTTTCTTCATTCAGCATATCGCTTTTATATGAAAATCAAACAGAACAAAAGTAGCAAACAGGAATTTCTAAATTCTCCGTGCGAGAGAACTGGATTTATTTTGTGATCTTGTAACAATCTCCTACAGCTATCATAGAAATGTCACGTCGTCACACTTAATTATATATGTTTTTCTTTATTTAGCACATTGCTTTTGCATGAAAACTGAATAGAACAAAAGAAGCAAAAAGAAACCTCTAAATTTTTCGTAGGAAAATTGATAGAATTTTGTGATTTTATGTGTAAAGATCCTATTACTATCACATAGATGCTATGTTGCCATACTTAATTCTATATTTTTCTTTGTTCTACAAATGGCTTTTGCATGAAAGACGGAAAGAATAAGGATATCTTTAAATTTCTCCTAGAACAATTGATAAGATTAATTTTATTGGCTCTGATAAACGTTTTAAAATAATGATAACAGAGACGTGATGCTTTTATTGCTGTTAGATTGCGTCAAGAGACACTTCTCAGAAGATCAAATTATTACTTCGCTTTTTCTAAGAATTCCCGCAACTAGCGCGCTGGCGTTCGCCAAGAAACCAGGAAATTCAGGATATTCTCTTGCAAAGGTCCATCAATGGCGAGGAGGTGCAGCTACTGCTGAAAACCGCGGACGGCAAACTGATGCAGCTGTCGGCAACACCAATACCCGAGATAGTACCGAGTGTACCCAACGTCGGTATGAAACAACAGCAGACCGTCGTAATCAGGACCGAGCCGGCTCTGAGATGCGCCGCGAGGTCGGAGCCGAAGAGATCCGTGATCTCCAGGTTGTCCCTGGCGAAAATGGTAATCCACTTGTGCACTGTTTAGCATCGTTAACAGACGTCCGTAGATGAGACCGTTAGGAATCACATTGCAGAAGCTGAAACAAGCTTTATGTAAAAACGCGGCTCCGCAGACTCCGAGGGCGGCGGTGGAGGCGTGCGCGAAGATCACCGACGCGACGACCGGCGTCGGCGTGAAGAGGGACAACTCGAAGAAGACGATGGACCAGCTGAAGAAGAAGGACATCCTCGAGCGCAACCGCGCCAGCTCGATGCGCGCGAGAGCCAAGAGGAAAGCGTGGATCCAGCAGCTCGAGAGGAACGTTACTAACGTGAACGAGGTGAACGCGGCTTTACAGATGGAGGTGAAGGCGTTGCGCGCCGAGGTGGCGAAGCTGAAGACCCTCTTGCTGGCTCACAAGGACTGTCCCGTGACGAAGGCGATGCAGAAAGGCAAGTCATCGATTCGCCCCGCGTTCTTGTTCCTTCAGCGTGATGTTGATGTTCCGATTTGCTCTCGCACGAGACCTGTGTGCGGCGTAAACCTCTCTGGGACGAACCACTTGGTCGTTCTCTTCCGGATCACGATCCCGCGCGAGATCGAGACTCGAGAGATACACGGCGGGAGAGAAAAGGAAATTTACTCAACTCTAAATTTAGCTTGCCGGCGCAGGCCGCGAGTTTGCTTTTATTTCTCGCATTTCATTGCAGGAAACGGCATAGTTCTTGGGCCTAAAATAATATCGGTGAATTCGGAGGTACTGACGGTGCCGATCGCGGCCAACGGCGTGCCCGTGAAGCGTACGGTCTCCTACGCGTGCCCGGAAGGCGCGAGTCTGTCGAAGAAGCCCTCCGTGTCGATCACGAAGAACCCGGTGATCTTCCCGAAGGTGGACTGCGGCGGCGCGAATCTCGCGATCCCGAACGCGACGATCATAAAGAGTCTGCCGACGTTGAAGATCGTCGGGGTCAACCAATTCCTGCCGGAGAAGGAGGAGACGAAGCAGATACTGATTGTGCAGAATCAACCGCGGAAACTGTGCGAAACCGCCGCCCGGCAGATTATACAAATCAACCCGAATTATGAGATCGAGCACGCGGCTTCTAAGAGCACGGGAACGTAACAGATCGTTCCCGCAGCATTCGTAGTTAGCTCATGAAATTCAGCGCGATCCGCGACTCCGTGGTCGCCGAGAAACGGCCAGGAGTCACGTGCCTTCGCGGGTAATGAGAGCTACACGATGCTCGTGATGTCTAACTCTAGTCTGACGTTTCCAGGATGAATTGGACGAACAACTTTGTGTCGTTGTGTCGTGCAATACTTACCTAGCGCTGTAGCGGGATGCAGGAATAGAGGAATGCAAAGTGATTTGAGGAATTGCTAAGTTTTTATACTATTTATTCTGCGCAATAAAGACTTAAATTTTTTACCGAATTTCAATAGAAACCGCGCGATTCACTTTGTTTTTCCCGATGCAAATACGATACGATTCAATCCCTTTCTCTCATTATAGAGAAACATATCCCATATATTATACAATAATGATATAATAATGATATAACAATGATATAACAATATATACATTAAAGTCGTCTCATCGATTGATACAAACGCTCATATATAATGCAGATCCAAATAACGAAGCTACTCGTATAATTGCGTATTGCAATTTAAATTCGTTCATAAAATGTTTTTTTTTTAATTTCTAACTGATCATGTTTGTTATATTAAACGATTTACATCAACGACTCGTGGATGAACGATTAGTAACAATCACTTAAGCTTCCGCGACTCTACGTTGCATCCATTTTTATTTATAAAGTCAGAAAAACGAGGAAATGCATGTCCAAAATTCCTGCAAAGTGCATCGAAGTAAAAAGATATATCCAGAAAATAACACAATCGATCGAGTATACATTCAAAGTACTCCTCTTTCCTTTTGCTCTAACAATTAATAAACAACCGTAAAATTGGCGTGACGAAATAATGAGGAAATGTAGGTCACGTTCAAAAGGAAAGTTGCATGTCACGTTAATTTTATGAATACTTATTGATTATTGAAGTAAAAGTGTTCGGAGTGATTTAGGAAAGTTGCATGTCACGTTAATGTTTTTTATGATTACTTATTGATTAGTCAAGTAAAAATAAAATTTTTTAGGTGATTTAGTGGTGTGCTTAATCGATTGCAAGTGTCACTTTCTGGATATATCTTTTTATTTTCATTTATTTTGCAAAAATTTTGGGTATGCATTTCCTCGCTTCTGACGTCATCAATCAAGAGTTACAAGACGAGGGATCAAGAACTTTATAATCTCTTCAGTGGTGATTTAAAATGACTGCGCGATTCTCCTAAGGGTGGGCTTTTTCTTAAATAAGCATATATCCATAGATTTGTTTTTCTCTTTATTGTTATTTTCTTTGAAGTATTTTGAGAAATGGAATACAAAGCATATATAATTTTTATCAGTATTTACTATGAGTTAAAACAAAGATACAATTGTCTGAGCAAAAGGAATTTAATATTTCATCACGAAACGTTTCCGGGTATACCACTTAAAGGTTTAAGTGTCATTATGTCGTCACAATGAATTCAATTCGTCAAAAGATTCAACAACGGAGACGCCTCCTCCGCCACGTGTCTCCAGTCGGTTCGGTGCGCGCGATCTGCTCAGTCCCACGATGATTCTGTGACCCTCGGGCCCTTATCAGTTCTCCGTCCAGTCGTCTAACAACTCTACACCGGACAGGAGAATGATAAGGGGCTTTGGGCACGCATTGCTCCGAACACGGGAAACAGCCATGGAAGATTGGAGTTCAGTTCCGCGTGATATCTGAAACAAAGAAGCAATAAAACAGAGCATCCGATTGTTATTTCGCTCTCGCGGGGAATATACCCTGACTAAAAAACAAAAAAAAAAAAAACAAAAAAAAGACAATTTCGTTGCGCTCCCGAAAAATACCTATCGGTAATCTCTGAAAGAGAAACGTGCAGCTGTGTATCTCTCAGGCATTCCTGTCATGCGCGCGCGGTGCAATACCGACGATCGAGTGATCTCTCGCGGCCAGAAACGCGCGGATCGGTGTCGCGAGTGACGTCACTAATAGCACAGGCGCAGATTCGCGGAGCTTGGAGAGTCGCGTGGTCGCGGAGAGCAAGGATACTCGTCTTGTTCTCTATGAATAGTCGTGGTCGCTTTCTTGCGGAGGGTCGTCGTATCCATCGCGCCGCGACGCGATTAAAATATATTTGACCCGATTGCCGGCGCACGTGTGTGCGCCCCTCGCGCGCTCTTACAAATCCGTAATCCCGCGTTGCATCGGTGAAGGAGGAGGAAAGGCAGAAAGAAGGGCGAAAGAAAGAAGGAAGAAAGGGCGAGCAGCTCCTCCACGTGAATTGTTCGGGGCAATCGGACACACGCAGATAAGCCGCGCCACAAAGAACAAGCGTCTTTGTCGAACAAACAAGATTTCCGCTCCTCCGAGTGAGTCACGTTCACAAGTTAGCACAACGGGCCGTGTGAGGAGACGTCCTGGGGATCGTGCTCGGCTGTCGGTTGCTCGGTAAACTCTGTCAACTGCTCTTTCGCGTCGATAAGAGATGCCGATAGCGGTTGACCGGCGCACAGTACGCGTCCCTGTTCTTTTTTTCTCTCTCTTTCTTTCGCTCACTCGCTCGCTCGTTCACGAGAGCACCGATGTTTCCTTCACCTTCGTGAATTCCTCCGTGCGATGAATCAATCCTGACGCGAAGTTCATGGTGCGCGCGGAGAAAACCGCGTCTCAGCGCGATGATGTCTTCTACCTTCCAAGGTGGAAGAGATATCTCTCTCGGGGAATACGCCGCGAGATGATTTATGACGCGGTAACGTGGCTTTCCTCGTGTTTGGGAAGTCCGAACGCGGATGTCGAAGTAATTTGACGGAGTGACCGGAAAAGACGAATGTCGCGTTTCTTGCGGGACACTTTGGCCTTCTCTTCAGGGTATATTAGGGAACATACGATTCAAGATGGCCCAAGGATCAAGTTGGCTATGTGGTTGGTTCATGTATTTATTGTGAGAGCAACGATGGAGCAAGAAAATCGCGAAAGGTTCTTCTTAGAACATGGGAGAAATATCTGAAAGGAACATTTTGCGAATCCCTTTCCCACTATCACTCTTAGAATAAATACATGAATCAAACGTGTGGCCAACATAATCCTTGGGCCGCTTGCTCTGCGTTTCAGTAAAATGTTCTCAGGTCTATACGTGTAGTGAAGTCTCGTTTGAATTACAAATTTATTAACCAAGTACTTGATTAAGGCTCTTGATCCTTCGTTCTTGATTAATGGTGTCAGGGACAAAATTGTTGTCACTTTCAGGTAAAAAGATATCTATGAAGGAACGCTTTAAATCGCTCGAGTATACTTGTAAAGTATTTCGAAATTATTTTTTCCCTTTGATAGCCGGTAAATAGATAAGATTAACGTGACACGCAACTTTTCTCATAGTTTTGTCTCAAATTGTCTGATAATTTTCTATCAAAGGAAGAGGATAGCTATTACATTTTACAAACGATCCAAAGTGTTCTTTCATACAAGTATCTTCTCACGGAGGAAAAAGAAGATTGATTAATTCACAGACAGCCAACCGCATTTCAGCTAAAGTAGCCAGAATGTTTGATTATGACAACTGAGTTCAGTTAGTACTAAAGTCTAACCAAGATCAGTTATTATAATCAAATATTCTGGCTGCTTCAGCTGAAATATGGTTGACTGTTCGTGAATTAACAAATCTTTTTTCCGTGTTTATTTGAAAATGACACGCAAAAATCTTTAGCGTATCATCTCTCGCCTCTGACGTTATAAACCGACATAGCCGCGGCGAATACTCAGGGGGATCCCTGAATGAAAGTTTTTACTGAGTTGAATACTACTATTGATCAATGAAGAAATTATTGTTGCCTGCAAACGATTGCTGTTAACTCAACGATATCTATACATCAGAAAATATAATTTTCCGTATCATTACTGAAGATTTATAAACCATCAAACCGATTGATATTCACGTTCACTTTGAAAATTTGACCCGATATGAGAAGTCAATAACCATTCAACAAAACAAATGTGTCAACTCGTTAGAGCGATACTCACGGAATTCCATTGATATTTTTTGTTCTCTTTTGTATCCGAAAATTCCGCGTTTCAACTCGAATCGTCCGGTCCTCCAGAATTTTTATCAGGCCGGGCCAATAACGATTGATCACGGAGCGGTTCAGAGCGTGCTCGCGAGGACAAGTGGTGGCAGCAGTTTGCGTTCGATCACACTCATAGAATTCTTGGCGTCGATTCGTCTTGCCGGCCCGCTCGATCGCCACGCGTACGGAAATAGCACTACAAGAGTGAGAGAGAGGAGGGGGAGGGGGGAGAAAGAGAAAGAGCAGGTGCCCGATCTTTAGGGAGAATTCACACCTTGGCAGAAAAGCGAAAAAACAAAAGCCAATTGGGACTCGCGCTGGTGGTCAGGTGATAGTCGACAGTTTCTGCTTTTCTACCAGCGCGAGTTCCGATTGGCTTCTGCCTTTCTCTGCCAAGGTGTGAATTCTCCCTTACGCCGCGTGATCATTATATCTAACACACGCGATCTTTGGCGCTTCTCTCGTTCTCTGCGCGGACGTTGCGGAGCTCTGATAAATTGCAGAAATTTAGAATCCTGAAATGACAATTCGGCTTCTGCTGCACGGTTGAAATGCTGGTTGCGAGCACTAATGATTAGGGAGAAAATTAGCGGAGACCCAAGTGAGTTGGGATTATCTAATCGACGTGCGCGCGGAACGCGTTAGTTCGCTAGAACGCTAAATTCGCGTTTTCGAGTCCTGACGATTAACTTTCGAGCACACGAGGACCATCGTTTCGCGTGAGGTTGCAGTCTCACATAACGTAACTTCTCAAGTAGAAACAGCGATCTCTTTCTAGCTAGTAAAGGCTTGTCTACGGTACACGGAGTAAACTTTGCGTAAGTTGGAGTAAGAAACAAAAATAATTTATTTCGCTTACGCTTATACTTTAGCCTTCTCACGCTGCAAGTATTTCCCTTGAGTAAAACTTTTTCTATATAAAACTTTTTCCTGTATAAAATTCTGTCAAATACTTTTCATCTCATTCGATTCCACATTGTAAAATATTATCTTTTATTATTCAATATAAACGCATAATGCGAAACTCTTGTTTCAGAGATAGAACCTTTTCACGCACGTAAATTAATTCATTATTCAGATGACTGTAGCTTTATTTTTATTTACCACTCTTTTTTGCCTAGTCTCTAACCAGTATTTACCTGGCTAGTTTCTCTGACTAGTTTTTGCTGGAGATCTTTTTACTTGAGTTCCGTTATCATATAATAAGAGGTATCTATCTTCTCCTCTTGCAGAATTTTAAAAATTTAGAATCTTAAGAAAGATAATTCAGTTTCTGTCTTCTGGTTGAAATGTTAGTTACCGATATTGATAATTGCGGAGAAAATTAATGGAGATCCGAATGAGTTAAATTTATCCAATCAATGGAGCGTTAATTCGTCAAGATCGTGCTTAAGCCCTAACGATTAGTTTTCAAACACGCGAAGACCATTATTTCACGTGTCGTTGCAGTTTTACGAAATGGCTTTCAATATATATATATATACATATATATATATATATATATATATATATATATATATATATATATATATAGAGAGAGAGAGAGAGAGAGAGAGAGAGACGAAGAGATACCTGTTCTCTTGCCTCGCGTTATTCATATGAAATGCGTGCGTCAGAGTTTGTACGTGAAATATTAACCGTCTAATTCACCGACTAACGAATTAACTGTACATAGCTAAGCACACACAGACGAGTTTTATAAATTTGCGCTTACATAATGACGGAAACAAATGTCCGCGCTCTTTCGACGAAAATCGTAAATAATCAATCTCACAATTCGCACGGGCGCGGCGAACGGCTTCTCTCTCGTCATTTTGTCTCGATAACATTTTGTTGCGTCGCGTCCGTTTCCAGAACGCGGATCGTCGATTGATCACGAATAATCCTCGCTCCGCGACGCGATAACCGATCATCCCGTCGCTTCGCATCAGGATTGCTTCGATATCCCACGCGTTATTCGTTAATACACGGAAACGTGAGGAATGGGATGTGGGGGGCAGGAGGGCGAGATTTGCCCCGAAATTCGCGTCTTAAATTCTTGTTAGCGAAGCGGAGAGCCCGGGCTCTCTCTCTCTCCCTCTCTCCAGCCACGGCCGCGGATTCCATTTACTGATTGGATATGGCATCAGTTATTCATCGCCGCCAGTCGAAGGAGAGAACAGGAGAGGGGGGAGAGAGATAGCACGTGCGGCCGTTATAAATACGGCGGATTTCCCGTCGGTATGCTGCAACATTAGGAAATTCTCGACGGGCCTTCTCTCCCCCCCCCCCC